GGGGGGGGGACACACGGGGGACACAGGGGGGACATGCCCTGACCCCCCTCCCCGTGTTCCCTCCCCCCCTCCCCCCCAGAACACGGTGGACAAGCTGATGAAGAAAACCAACCTGGCCACCGTCATCGGCACCCACTCCTGGAGGGAGCAGTTCCTGGAGGCCGTCACCGTCAGCGCAGGTGGCCCTGCCGGGTCCCCTCCCTGTCCCCAGGGTCCCCTCGGGGTCCCCTCAGGGTCACCAGGGCCCCCCCAGTGTCTCTGAGGTCACCGTCAGCGCAGGTGGCCCTGCTGGGTCCCCTCCCTGTCCCCAGGGTCCCCTCAGGGTCACCAGGGTCCCCCCAGTGCCCCTGAAGTCACCGTCAGTGGAGGTGGCTCCTCCGTGTCCCCTCGATGTCCCCTCACTATCCCCAGGGTCCCCTCGATGTCCCCAGGGTCCCCTCGATGTCCCCAGGGTCCCCTCACTATTCCTCAGGTCACCATCAGTGCAGGTGGCCACGGGGGCCCCACTGTCCCCTCAGTGTCCCCCCCAGTGTCCCCTCAGGGTCCCCCCCAGTGTCCCCTCAGGGTCCCCACTGTCCCCTCAGTGTCCCCCCCACTGTCCCCTCAGTGTCCCCAATGTCCACCCCCTTGGGACTCTCAAGCCTGGTGCCACCACCCCTGGGAGTGTCACCCTGGTGCCACCACCCCTTGGGGACTGTCCCCAAGGTGCCACCACCCTGGGGGACCATCACTGTGGTGCCACCACCCTTGGGGACCCTCACTGTGGTGCCACCACCCCTTGGGGACCCTCACCAAGGTGCCACCACCCTGGGAGTGTCACCCTGGTGCCACCACCCTTGGGGACTGTCCCCAAGGTGCCACCACCCTGGGGGACCATCACCAAGGTGCCACCACCCCTGGGAGTGTCACCAAGGTGCCACCACCCTTGGGGACCCTCACCCTGGTGCCACCACCCTTGGGGACCATCACTGTGGTGCCACCACCCCTTGGGGACCGTCCCCAAGGTGCCACCACCCCTTGCCTTGTCCCCCCCCCCGCCGGTGCCAGGTGACGAGGACGACGACGACGAGGGCCGTGAGGAGCGGCTGCCGTCGTGCTTCGACTACGTGATGCACTTCCTGACGGTGTTCTGGAAGGTTCTGTTCGCCTGCGTCCCCCCCACGGCCCTGCTGGGGGGGTGGGCGGCCTTCGGCGT